TAATTTAATGAGATGCATCTTTATTAGGCCTCCTCACGTTTCAACCCTCATCTTTGTATATTCCGACCAGCAGCAAAATGTAAGTGTGATGACATCCCAAATCAGTTGACTCTAACAAATCTGCACAGATTTGACAGATATTCAAACATCCAGATGTTTGAATATCTGTCGCTTCACATTCCTACTTTCATTTATATTATTTGTCTGAACAAAATACTAAACAGGATAAATGATTTAAAGATGTGCTCCACGATGACCTAAAAAGATCTCCAACAAGTTAGTAAATACACAACTGCTTTTATATACTCAACGGTTAAGTTGGAAAGTTTAGATTTCCCTTTACTTTACTTTAGACTAAATTCTCTCTGTAGTCCACATACTGCACTAACTGTTTACGAGCGTGGGAGATGACTGGAGTGAGTGGAGTACCAGGTGTAGCAGCACCAGGAGTGGATGCTGCAGGTGTAGAAGCGAGAGGAGTGGACGCTGCAGGAGTGGTGGTCCCGGGGCTCCCACCTGGTGTAGTACCGGGTGTTGTGCCAGGAGTGGCAGGAATTATAACCACTGGAGCAGGACCAGAGCTGTCAGCTTCACCTTGAGCCTCCGGACGTGGGGTGGATGTGACAAAGCGGGCTTCTCTGATCCGGTAGGGTCTTCTGTAGGAGGAGATGGGCGAGAGCTCTGAGCCCCAGCCCAAGTAGCTCCCACTGGACGGCGAAGGCGCATCCGCACTGAAATATAGAGTAGTGTTGGATTCACCGGGGGTCCCTGCTTTCTTCTCAGGAGAAGCCAACAACAAGGGAGAGCGGCGCTCAGGTGACCAGCCAGGTGTCTTAATGTCCAGAGATCCCACAGAAGATGACGCTTCCGTCAGAGACGCAGCGTTGCTGTCGATGTGACGGAGGCTTCCAGCGTGTTGAGGAGATGAAAGCGACGGTGAGCCGTAAGCAGCGCTCTGGAAGTCCTCATCACCTTCACCTACAGAGCAAAGCAGGAAGATCAAAATTATTCTTTTTTCTACCATGTCAACAGATTCTCTCACTTGAGCCATTGGTCACCACAGCTCCTCCAGAGGTACCAGAGCACCTTTGGCTATTATGCATATATATTTAACCTCGCCTGGCCTATCAGTTCAAGTGGAAGATCAGCAGCTATATATAGGCTATTATTTACATTTAAACCAATATGATGCCTGTACCCTTTATCTGGGAACTGGTGTCAGTATTCAACTGGACCTGTTTTCCTTACCATGCTGTTGAGGGAAATTGTGTGCATCAATATATATTCGATTACGGTAATTAGCAGAAGAACCTGTATGCTTTACTTCAGTGGCCTTGCATTTTGTATGAAGGTGAGTAATTCCTCCAGAACTGTTGTCTTGTTCATTTAAGATAAGGATTTGTTTTTACTGCCTGGTTCCTAAAAGGAGATGCCTGTTAAAGTTATTTTCATTTTCACCTCGATATATCTGTTTCTCATCAATGTTCTGCTGGGAGGTCTAATAGCTTTATGACATTTTCGCTAATCTTGCAGCAAACTGAGTCTTGAATGCCGTTTGCCTTGGATTAAGTTTACTAAGAAGAGGTCGATCTTCTCTTTCTGTACTGAAACAGCATCTTGCTCCTTTGGTAACTACATTTCCATAACAATTCTTACATCATCTTGAACACTATGCTTATTTATCTGGAGCAGACAGAGATGGTGATGCGGTTCACTTGCATCTTTATTGTTGCTGCTGCCATCACTAAATATTTCAAATATTTTTTTCTGCTGGCAACAGATGATGAGTCGCTAATAGATGCAGGAGTTGTGGCTGTAGATCTGAGGCTGTTATAAATATTGCACTCTTCTTCTTCAGACTAGAAGTAATCCTTGCGATTCATGTCTCAAATATTGCAGGAAGTTTAATTTGTATCACATTCTGAAAAGACGAGCTTTTCAGAATGTGATACAAAATAAAGCTGATGCTTTATAAAGCATCAGCTTTATAAACTGGCATCATCACACTCATGTCCATTATAGAAAATCACCCACTCTACCATTACCTCTGTGTCACAGCGATGTGTAGGTACTGAAACATGGAAATGTTTGATATTGTGGGAATATTAACTGATAAAATTCAGTCAGTACCTATAAAGTACTGAATTCAGGACCCTCCCTCACAGTGCAACATTCTTTATTTCAAATGATAGACTGAACTGTGATCTGTATGATGTTTAAACCTTTAAATATCATAAACCTTTACACCTTAAGTTTTTGTCACTTGCCCTTACAAAAAGAGTTGCCTTGAAAATAGAGCTAATAAACTAATAAGGCTTTCCCTGTACAGGGTTAAAGCTTGGCACTTAAGTTTCTACCCTAAGCCTTTTTTAACCTCTTCACACATTCTTCCCTGAACGACTTTATCAATTTAGAGGCTGAACTACAGCAGGTGAATATTTTGGTTTCAAATAGTGTCATTTAGGGGGCATCGGAGTAAAGGGGCCTGAATAAAAATGCACACCACAGTTTATTAGATTTATAATAGAATTAGTTAATACTTTTAGAAGATATTTTACATCAACAGATAAGCCCATTTATCAGCTGATTTCTTGTATGCAATCATCCTTTTTAAGGAGTAATTTAATTAATCTATCGGAGAGGAAAACATACAGGACTATGGCTGTTTAGCCCTGGACCATAGGACCTCCTGTCCTGCAAATGTTAGTCTCTACATTTGAATCAAATATTTGCATTACCAGCTCCTCAACAGCCAGCAAGCTCAGCTGAGGACAGTTAACATGTGTGGAGCCAGTAATAAACCTAAAACATGAAGGTTAGTCGCTCCAGAGGATCAGGGTTGAACAGCCCTAAAAAGGATGAAGTATTTACAGCTTTCTTCTACTGCCCCCACATGGTCAAATGTTTCATAACATGTTTTCTTTCTCCCAGGTATCCTACCTCTATCTTCTGATGGAGCGGCACTTAAATCCTCCTCTGCTGATTCCTCGGGAATCACCTCCTGAAATGGGATGATCTGTGGAAGCATTCTCATGTCCTGGACGGTTGCAGGAGGAGCTTTTCTTACTGGTCGGGCAACAATGCTGCTATGAGCCGGTTTAGGTGGCTGGACGACTTGTCTCACCTGTGTTACAGAAACAACACTACCTGAAGCAAGCGGCTGCGGTCAACACAGATATAAGTTGTAGCTCCATGAGCAAGTTTCTTCTGCCAGTGATTTACATTTATATATAATTTCTTAAACCTCTGTATTTATCTTCTCACTTGCTGCAGTAATTTAAATTACTGTTGTACATTATTGGGCTTTTAAGAGAGGATCTTGCCTGTGGAGTCTGGGTGACCTGTGGTGGAGGTGCTGGAGGGGCAGGCTGAGGAGTTGGGTGAGAGATCTGAGGAACTCGCTGCCGAGGAGGTGGAACCTGACCAGTAATACAAAAACCCTTATTGCATTATTTCCAAACAAAACACACCTGCCAGGATGGAGGATATTTATCTTCATCCCCAAATCAGAAATAGCAACAAAAAAAACAACAACACATGTTTAAAACTTTAAATACAGCACATATTAATTAGAATTGTAAATGAATAGAAATAAACCTGGGGTACGTGATGTAAAACAGGAGAACGAATCTCCTCTGAGAGACCCATGAGTCCGGCCAGCCCCCCTTCCCCATACGCTGACCAGATCCTAGGAATGTCCCCCGTCTTAAGGGCCAATCGAATCAGCAGCCAGTGGTGATGCTTCCAGCCTTCCCATTGGATGGGGAGGTCCATGAGGGTCCCACCTCCTAAATAAAAGAAAGATTGAAAAACATCCAAATCATGAGAAAAGAGGCTTAAATGGTTGGAATGTGGCAATGAAGACCAGAAGCAGGGTATTTTTTGAGGGAATGATTAAAAAAAAAAAAAAAAAAAAATTTAAAAAAAATCAGCATGATCACCTGATCTCAATCAGCAAGATAACATTTCATAATAAACTGCATCTTTACCAAATGGAGGTATGGCTGTCTAACTTTTGACCGTTGGCATATCAAGAAAAGAAATATCTGAGGATATCGGAGAATATCTGAGGGTCCGGAGGGGCTCAAACAATGAAAATATTTCTGATAAATAGGAGGGAATCGACTGCTAAGAGCTACAGTAGTATTATCCTAAAATCATTCCTAATGTAACTGGTAGCATATAGAAAGAGAGTTACATAAACATGCATAGGCTTGTCAACCACCGACCAGACAATGTTGTATGATGATGGAAATTGGGCTCGACTTTCTCCTCCAGTGAGAGCGCAGATCCACGCTCCATGCAGGCTCCGCCAATCCCCCTGTGGCGAATACTCTGGAAGATCTCAAAAGACTTGGGGTGAAGGAAACGGTAGTACAGCACCAGTGCTATAAGCCCTGCAGAGGAAAAGTATCACCAGCAAAGGAGACTGTAAGAAAAAAACTTTTGTTTTTATATTAGGGAAAGGTAATTCACTGGCAAATAGAAACTTGTCTAATCTTCATTAAATTTTTTTTAAATAGATCCAGTGGCTGCATGCCGTACCGATGAGGAAGCTGCAGAATACGGCAGCTGGGATCGCCACAGTGTCCCAGGACACCATAGCAAACAGCCAGGAGGAGGCCAGAAGGAGGAGAGCGTCCTCTAAAAACATCACCTGTGGATTTAAATAGAAAAGTTAAAACCTTGGTAGTAAAGTAGGCTTGATAGTCTATTTTTGATATATAATCATAATTCTTATTATTTAATACACAACCCTTCTGGAGATTATAATATTCAACATTAATCTACATAATATCAGAGTTTAATATAACATTGTTAATGTCTAACTAGCTTCTTGTAAATGACAACATCCATGTGTTTATGACACTAAACATGACCACTGGTTTACCTTCAGTGAAAATTAAAGGTGGTGGACTGAACTTGTTTAAAAACAAATAAATACATATATATTTGTCAATAAGTGGCAGTGGAGGGGAACCAGTTGCATTGGGTTTTATTGAAGAGTATCAAAGTAAAGGGGGCTGCATACAAATGCACCTCTTTTTATAAACATCTTTTTGCAAAGCTAATCAGAGCCATGTATCCCTTTACTTCCACAATATTATGTGATACTTTATGTTGACCTGTCGTATAAAATCCCAATAAACTGCCTTCAGCGTATTGGCACTTTTTCAAGGCGCTCCACATAAGACTGATGTGCTGACAGATACAGACGTACCAGGTAAAATGCAGCCATGCGGTATCTGGATGGACCATATTTCACGTTCAGGAAGAGAAAGACATAAACAGCTCCCAGAACGAGGTTGAAAAGTCTCCATCGACCAGTTGAACGAATGATGTCGGTTTGCTGAGACACCATCCAGAAAGTAGCACCCAGCCAGTGCACACCTGCGACATAAAGCCAGTAAAAGTTGGGACCCACAGCCAACACACTTTGTGAAATACTAAGCAGCTTCCAGATAAGGTCTCGGCTTACCAATGACTCCCAGGACCCACTGCTTGAAGATACGTGTGAAGAGCATAAGCACTGCGAACCTAGACCCCAACATGCCAACCTGCGTGCACAAAAAATGCATATTCACACTCAAAGCGACACAAATCACTGCAGTGAGTTCGGGCATATAGAATTAAGCCCACCCGCCACAGGAGTCGACAAAGCATTGCTGCTGGAGTCATCTGCAAGTGTCCCGGCCTGATGAGTGAGCATGCTCTGGCGTAGAGAACCAGCGCCCAGGCCAGAGACAGCAAGCATACAGCAAAGCACACCGAGGCTGCAGGGAGATGGGAGGATAGGAGAGTATTTTAGCAAACTGGAATCATACAACTAGATATTAAAAGGCTTTTGAAGGAAGAGTAAGAATGCTTAAAAAGATCCATTTATCACAATGTCCCCCAATGTTTTTAGTCTTGTGTCTCCTTCCTAGCATATTAGTGCCTGACAGCGTTTTGAAGATACCAGTCAGTGAATTCAGGTAAAAAAAACTTTGATAAAAATAAAAATGACTTTTTATTTTAGGCTAAAGCTTTAAAAATTAGAGAATGTCTGATTGAGAGGTTTAGAAGGGGATTGTTGTTAAAACTGTTATTTTTAACTCATCTAAAGTTTTATCAAACTCTGAAAGTAGGAACATTTTAAGGTCTTAGTTTGGCTATCATCAAACTTTAAACAACTTTTCATCCTCACAGTAAAGTATGGTGGTGGCAACATCATGCTATAAGGATATTTGCATTCAAGATAAAAGGTCCAGAATGAACAGGAAATATTAAATCCCCTTTTCATTTACTTTACAGTTTTGCACTAACTCGTGTTAGTCTGTCTTATAGAATTGAGGTTTTTCATCATTATTGGACAAAATGAGAAAATGTTATAGCATGCACTGGACACATTGTGTTTGTTGCAGGAAATAAACACAAACACCCCAGAATGTAATAAAAAAAAATATATATATATACATATTGAACTTTATTAATCTCACACTGGAGAAATGTACCTCTGTATTTAACCCATCCCATGGCAGTGGGCTGCCATTGTGGGGTGCCTGGGGAGCAATGTGGGGTTTAGGGTCTTGTTTAGAGACCCAGAGTGGCAGTCTGTGGGAGTGGGGTCCAACTCAGAACCTCAGGAGTCCAAGCTCTATGCTCTAACCACTAGACCACCACTTGCATTCACATCTCAAACAAAAACATTTATCAAGATTAGGTTTAGCTGCAATATTTATGTGTATATTAGTTTTTTCTGTTTTTTTTTTTATAGGACTTAAAGAAAAATGTTATTCCTTGAATTTTGATAATAATGGTTGGATTTGTTTAACTACACCATAATGTCACTCTCTACTCTTCACTGTCAGTCTGTGGGCTCACCAGGAGACCTGACCCCTATATCAGTGCAGATGAGCACATAGGTCTGGAGCAGCGTCTCAGGGAGGGTGACCACCAGGGCCTCGAACAGCCGTAATGCAGATACATCTGCCTGCTGCATGATTTCTCCATACAAATCCTCTTCTGGTAGACGCATGCACTCCCACAGCCTGTGAGGATGGTCAACAATAAACAGGTGGAGACAGAGAGTTAAGATTAGGGTTATCCTGTAATATGTGTTACCATAATAAAAGTCAATCAGTACCCCTTACATTAGATGTAATGTCTACCCACCTTTTGAAGATTCCCAGGTGTAAGATGTGCGTCCATCTTAGAGATTTCCTGGGGATTTTTCCATCTGAGCGATACCACAGATAACTGAGCCACTGTGGACCCCAACCTGCAAATACACATGTGGATGGAAAGTTCAGATTTATGAAGTTTTCACTCCTTAAGGTCATATTTAGTATAACGTTATCACCTGGGAGCAGGAAGAGTGCAGTGAAGCCAGCGAGGTAAGCATAGCAGTAGTTGTGGCCAATCCAAATGTAATACACAAAGCAGTAGATCACTGGAAAAAACACAGGAAACATACACTAATTAAAACCAGCATTAATAAACAGTCATACATGTTTAATGGGGTCTTTCCAAGTCCTCAATAGACAGACACTGATTTACAAAAACCGAAAAATTGAAGCAAAACTTTTATTTTATCAAGGTCAAGTAGCCATGAAAATATCTGTACTCACAAAATTGCATTAGCATCCTTATCTTATATTACACCTTCTTAATATGGAAATATGATAGATTTTACATTCCTTTCAACAGCAGATGTGCCTTTTAGTATTAGCTCTGAAAAAAACTCATTAAAAAATGTTTTTCTTAAGCTGGCATTTTGGGCATAGAAACATCTTTATTACAAGTCATACTTTGGCGTCACATCTTTTCAGTTGCACAGAGGCTTTAACATGTTCCACTGTTCTCTTTACCAGAGCTGCAAAAACAAAATTAAATAATCTATTTCTCTTGCTGTTTGTTTCTGATGCATCATCTGGGCAGGATCTTTCCTATTGTGATGTCTGATTATGGTGAAAGAGCTAATAGCTCTGATGGAACATGAGTACGGTAGATAGTTTCTGGGTACTCAGGATAATGTCCAACAACTACTCTATCATAGCTTAGATTTGAAAAGTGGTGAGTTTGCTTTCATGTTTGTTGTCATATGCACAGTCAATCAACTTCATGAAATTCGTCCTTTGCTACAATGCCAATAAACAATAAACAAGGGGAGTCATAAAATAGTTAAAAGAACTGAAAATCAGATGAGATATCAGCAATATACAAAAAAATTATTTAAAAAATTACTAAATCTGATGTATAATGAGCAGAGGCAGATCTAAAAAAATAAAACTAATAATATAGTAGTAGCTACTTTAGCTAAGGTATAGAATGAATGACAAAAAATAAACATAAAGCAGATTATTTTTTTTTTATCTTGTTTAATTTTCTTGATCATTTGTGTTCATTGTGCCTCTGCTGCAGCCAAATATCATGCATGCAGTTAATTCCCAATGAATTAATCATTAGATAACAAACTTATATAGCATAACAAACAAACACTGTGCTTCGATTTCCAACAATGCTGAGTCTGTATTTTGTGAGGACAAAAGGATCAGACTAAATTACTACAAGAAATAAAACTGACTCCACAACAATCCTAACGTCTTTTTATTTAGCAAACGATGTGAATATACAAATTCTGCAGCATGATCAATGCGTGCAATTGTCTGCATGATTAAAGGTGTGCACATTATGCAAGAGAGAGGATGGAGGTTGGTGGAAATGGTGTATATAGTTCCCAATTAAGTACCCCATAAAGTATGTGATTAGTTCTGATTTGGTTATTAATGTATATAAATGTTGGACCACGCATTTTTACACCAGGAATATCCCAATAAAATGAAAACAATCTCTTCAAAAGTAGATTCCAGGCATAGAGGCAGCAGCACGTTAATATGTAAACAACAATACTTTGATATAATTTTTTTTTTTGCACATTTCTGGTGTTGCTGCTATTTTTAACATATCCATTACGGTAAAAAAAAAATGTCCACAGTTTTTACAGATTTATTTAAGTATTATATTGCAAAAACACTGTACAATGCAATACTCTATTTGTTTTATTTTCCTATCTGTTATTTGTATACACTTTTCTAAGGTGCACATTGTGTGACCACTTATACTATAACCTTTTCCTGCTGTAAAATCCCCCCATTGTGGGACAATAAATGCATTTTCTATTCTATTCTATTCTATTCTATTCTATTCTATTCTATTCTATTCTATTCTATTCTATTCTATTCTATTCTATTCNATAAATGCATTTTCTATTCTATTCTATTCTATTCTATTCTATTCTATTCTATTCTATTCTATTCTATTCTATTCTATTCTATTCTATTCTAATCTATATTCTGCAGTGTTTCCATAGAATAATCATGCATGTCAGGACTAATCTACTGCAGTTTTTTTAATAAACATCCATGAGTTTGAATGACCTCCTCCAACATGTCATCCGCTGCTAAAGCTTCCCCGCATCCCTTTCCCGCAGTTCACCGCATTCCTCCATGCATGTAATCTGAACCTCTGAGCTGCCAAACAGGCGGGCTGTCCGGGCAGACAAGGCCCAGTCCCGGGGTATACGCCCATCCCCTCATCCATTCAGGGGCAGCCAGAGAAAAAAAGAGCGCTAAAATATAACATGACTCCCCTTGGATTCAGTCTAAGCAAACATCCCGCAGACCTCTCAGATATTAGATTTAAAATCAGCAAAAAAGTCTGGCATGAGTCAGCATACAGGTTATCATGACATGCACGGTTTAAAAATAGGGAAGAGGCGCACTCTGCAGACCTTACTGCGGCTGTATTATTCATGACAACACAGCAGATTTTAAAGTAGGAATGAGTTTAAAACTCTAAATCTAAAAGGAATTATTGTGTCATTATTATGCATTAATGTGCTGCAACATCTCACATCCCTGCGGGTCACAAACAGAACCAGAGGATCCCTGCAGCAGCGACACAGCCAGCATAGAAACTGAACCCTGAGTGGAGAAAAACAGGCAGCTGGTGAGGGATGCAGGATGGGGTCCCAGGTAGGAACTCACCAGCCGTCCTCTCTGCAACGAGCAGGAATGCGGTAAAGAAGAAGACGCAAACTTGGCAACAAGGCATGCAGCCTCCTCCGCTGCTTGGAGTGGCCGTGTAATCCCTCATGGTGGCGAGAAACAGACGAGCCGTCCCTCAGATTAACAGAGAGGACTGGTCTGTAGCCTGCAGTGGTTCTGGTTCCCTCCGGTCCAGCTGCAGCAGCCCGCTTTCTGAGATCAGAGTCCCCGTCCCAACGTCACACCTCGGCCGTCCCGTTAAAGCGATACAGCTCTGATGCTGCGGACACGTCCCTCTCTATGCGCACCACGAACACGCGCGCGCGCGAGTATGGACCTGCATACAGAAATACATATTGATGTTTTACGTTTTTTTAAAATTGTCCTCCTTAAAAAAACTTTATTGATCTGCTTGCATCAAACTTCTTTGAATCATAAATTCATTCGGTTTTCTTGGCCACACACCTAACATCTATAATAACAATCTAATCAACTACCAAAATAGTTCACTTGTTCTTTTATGGCATTTCTGAGGTCCTTTGCATTTTATCTGCAGATAAGAACCATTGTTTGTCTACAGAGGGTTAAAATAATCTCATTATATATACATTATATGTATTAGTTAACCAAAAATAGTTAATAGCATTACTGTATATGCATATTGACCAGTAAAACTTCCTTTTCCTTTGTTTTTTTTTTTGTGTTTTTTTTTTGTTTGTTTGTTTGTTTTGTGTGTGTGTGCTGTTTTGCCAAATGGCTCTGGGAATAGATGTTCCAGAGATATAGGTGACAGACCAACAGCTTTAGTTGTTTACCAAAGTAAACAACAAAAAAGCTTCCAGAGCAGCAGGTATCCCTTATATGTCCACATGTGTGGAAGGTAAAACCTCTGGTGATTACATAATATTAATCAGGGTGGTATATATATCTGTAGCTATGTCATGGTCTTGGTTCTGTTGTTCTTTACTTTGCTCCTAGTTTTCTAGTTTTATTGGTTTAATTCCAGTTTTGTTGTAATTTGTAGATTTATGTTAGTTCTCATGTTTTTCTGTTGTCCTCTATTGCCCTCTTGTGTGTGTATGTTCCTTTCCCCTTGGCTCCCTCGTTGTCTCCTCCCACACCTGCTCCTTGTCAGCTCGTTAGCCCTCCCTTTGTCTCTCTCTGTAATATATGCTCTCCCTCTGTCCTCACGCTTTGTTGGTTCCTTGTCTTTGCTGTGTTCCACGTTCCTCGTCTCTCCCTGGCTCCTCGTGTTTTGTTTCCCCAGATGTCTCCATAGTTCTGGTTTGCTTTATATTTTTCATGTTGGATTTTTGGATTCCCGCCTCTGTTACCTGTGTTTATTTCATTAAAGCTGCAAGAAATCTCCTCAGCCTCTCTGCCTCTCTGCATTTGGGTCCTCAAACCACAACCAAACCCTGACAAGCTGCGGGTTAGTATTTAGTATTAGTGTGTATCCATGCGCACCTGGAAGCAATAGGTATAGGGATTGGGCCTATATTTCATAAAAAATGAATACCCATGTAGTTCTTCCATCACATATTTACCTTGCAATGATTTTGAAAGGCTTAAACAGGCAAAATATAGGAACTTAAATGACTATTTAGCCCCAAAACTAACCAGGGCAGTGATGGTTTGCTTAGGGACTGACAATAAACTAGTTTTGTAATAATGAAAATAAGTCATGCTTTTTTTCCCGTTCTAAAGCCTAAAAGTTAATGCATTAAATCTGAATGAAAAACATGTCTGCATCATCTGTCCAGTCTAGTATATTGAGCACAAAGCTTTGTGTCGGTCACTTACATAACCAAAAAGCTATTGGGAGAAAGAAGAATTTAGAAAATGTTAAAATGCATTAAAAAGGACAAAAAGAATGCATCGTTTTTCCTTTTTTGCTCAAACCTAGAATTTGTCTGTGGTAACGTAATGATGCTAAGCAATGTTTTGGCCCACATGCAACACACTCAGCAGGCAGGAGAAAAATGAAACATTTATCTACGAGAAATTAACAATAATCAAGACATCCAGGGAACAGGTGTTTGGACTGAGGACAGCAACTTGGAATCTGGAGGTGAACGCTGGTTAATGGTTGGAAAGAGGTCGAAGATGTCATGATGGATCAAAGGAGCAAGCCCATATGCAGAACACACACGGAGGAGGCAGGGAAAAAGTTCAAATGTTTATTAAAAGTTCTGAACACGAGATCATAAAAAAGTTCTGAGACTGGTTCACTGAAGTCTTGACTGGGACCGGAGACTGTTGGTTAGCAGAGTTCATGAGAAGCTAAGCGTCTAGCTTAGGCTTAGCATGGCAGACCTTGATCTGAGCTTCCAGCTCACTGCAGAGAACAACAGGGAATATCCACATAGGATTCTTCAGGCTGATTCCACATAGGAATCTTCAGGTTGGCTCACCAGGGCAGATTAGCAGGTTAAGCTCACCTAGAGCTTCAGGCTAGAGACAGGTTTCCTGTGAGGCACAGACAAAGGAGAGATTAGAATCTGATCTCACACTAGAGACAACTAAGATTTTATCCGTAACAGAGGCTCAGGTAGCTAACCAAACTAAGATCAACACTGCGGCGAGGAAGCAAGGTCTGGCAGGTGTTTATAAAGGGGAGGTCTCCTGATGAGTAGATGAATAACAAGGTGCTGGAAGATTCCAGCTCCAGAAGACCCACGGTGCACTCTGCTGGAGACAGAGGGTAATCTCCAGATCCCAACAGTAACTCCAGCCCTAAGAGAAAATAACAAGAGACAGAAGAGGATCCTCGGCGCCCTGTGGTGGGCAAGCCTGAGGATCCCAACAGAAGAGAATGTTTTGCTAAGAAGAATGCTTTTCTTAACAATTCTTGAACATGTAATCCATCTGGGGGTTTCAGATCGGGACTGGGGTTCTGCATTGAGCTGAACAGAAAGTTTGATCCAGAATTCTGAGAGCATGGTGGAGGGCAAGCTAGAAGCTAGATTACAGACACAGCCAGCTTAAACGTTTAAAGTTTTAGCAGATAAGCTCTGACCCCGGAACTGAGCTGAATGGAAAGGAATCCAGAATTTCAGGAACTTGCTAACCTATGAGGACTGGTACAGAGGTGATGACTGAAGGTCTTTTTAATATTCTGTGTTAATGAGCTGATAAGGAAAAGCGGTGGCTGTACAGTCACTGGTATCTGATGGAGGAAACGTAAACTGCAGAACCAGGCTGAAGATAAATCTTCAAACATGACTAGCTTCATCCACTCAACAATGTTTTTTAATGCTGCAGTTATCCCTGTTGTTTTGCAGTTTCTTACAACACTTTATCCTTTCACACAACTTTCTATCAACATACTTGGATACAACACTCGTTGAACAACCACTCCTCAGCTACAACCTTTTTTTTTTTTTAGCTTACCTCCTTGTAAAGGATGTTAATAATTGTGTAGCCTTGGCTGAACCATATTCAGGGATAACTATGTAATAGAGTTGTTTTTTTAACAGATGGCACACTTGGCTAAATTGCATAGCCAGGCCCCTGTCTTTCTCATTTCACAGGAACACCTGCCCTGATTAGTTATCTTCCCTGCCAGCAGCCCTATAAACAGCAAAAAAAAAAAAAATAAATAAATAAAAAGAAAGATCAACCAGGCTGCTACAAAGCTAACATATATTAAATTCCTCTCTGTGGTTGTTCTTCTCCAGTTCCTTTTTCAACTATGTTATCCCTTCTTGACTCCCTTCCTTCGAGGTGATCCATGTTTTACTGACCAGGTGAATGAAGCATATCATGCACTTTACACACAAATTGATTCTTTCATCACTTCCCCATAGCAGCACATAGTTGTATGTTTTATATTAGAGACGCAAGGACATCAAATAATTCAAATAAATGTAAAAGATTTTACTTTTACTTTTGGAAAGTCCCGAAGCAGTAATTCATAGTGTTCACATAACCTACAAAATTTAACTTGTCTCAAAGGCTGACATGCGCTGTGCAGCTTAATATGGCAAGCCGATTGGGCCAAAAATCGGCCACACAATAACGCGCGTTTCCAACCCGTATTTTACGCGCGCGTGCTCGCTTTCATTGCCAATAAGAACACTGCAGCACCAAACATCACCAGGAGATCCCTGATCGTTGGGGAAAGGCAGAAAGAAGATGCACCTTCCTTTCTGACCCTGTCTAAATCCTGTTTAG